TTTTTTTGTTTTTTTGTGGGTTTTTTTTTGTACCCTATGTGAAAATGCCCCCTAAATGCCACAGTGCATGTAGTGCTTGAGCTTTTGTGGAGTGATATATATATGGTGGAATGTGGGTTATTTTTTTTAAAAAAAGTAAAAAAACTTCATCCTGTTAAAGATCACCACCCCCTCATGCTCATTTTCACGCTCAACTCACTCAAATATTTTCTTTGAGTCCGGTCAGTTGTCTTAGAAGGAAACCATCTTTAGGGAACAGGTTGAAGTTATAAAACTGAACAGCACATTTTTGACCAGGACTTTGGCGATGTTTCATGTCTCCCCTGCAGCATTTTGCTGTGTTGGAAACAAGGTCTGGGTTTGGAGATGAAATGTCTTTAACAGTGAAAATATGCTCATCTTGGACAATCTTTAGAAGCAGCCGTTCACACGGTATCAGTCACACGGTATCAGATACGGTTCCAGGCCTTTGATACTGTAGCCAGTAGATGGTCCCGGCCCAATCCTGACATCCCCCCTCCCCCCACCCCAAGCTTGACAGGCCAGTGGGAGCAGCATATAATATATTACCAGGAAGGAGGGTCTCTGTGTTGCTAAGACTCTTTGGAACTCTTCAGGAGAGTAGAAATTCCAAACCATAGAAGCCAAAATGCAACTGACTGCTCTAATTTTGGAGCTTTTTTGATCATAGGAGATCTGTTGGACACATCCAACCATCTAAAGCAAACAAAACTTTAGCAGGCAAGAAGTAAAAGAATGTGATGCTGCTGAGGCCTGTCAAAGAAGTAGAGAAAACTGGAGCTTAACACTGGTCAAGATAAAGGATAATCAGAAGCAGACAGGTTGGGTGTGGCTTGGAAGAGGCGAATGGAGCCCTCTTGAGAAGAGGCGGGCCTGCGTATGCTACTACTGTAAGGGTAGTTGTTCCTTAGTTTCTTTCTTTCTTCTTTTTTTTTTTTTTTAGTGTTTATTTTTGAGAGAGAGCATGAATGGGGGAGGGGCAGAGAGAGAGGCAGACAGAGAATCCCAAGGAGGCTCCGCACTGTCAGCACAGAGCCCGACGCGGGGCTCGCACTCACGGACTGTGAGATCATAACCTGAGCCGAAGTCGCCGCTTAACTGACTGCCCCCAGGCGCCCCAGTTATTCCTTAGTTTCTAATGCCAGCTAAGTAAGCGTGCTTGCCTTTGCACAGTAGGTGTATTTTTGTAGAAATATGTGAGAAAATGAAAGGAATTTAAGATCCATGGGTCAATAATGAGTATTTCAGTATCTACCTTGTTATGTTACCAGCTGTGGGAGATATTTGAATTCTAAGCTTCTTTTTAAACATTTTTAAATACAAAAGATGTTTTATTTTAGAGAGAGTGTGCGCACGCTTGAGAGGGATAGAGGGACAGAGGGAGGGAGAGAGAGAATCCCCAGCAGCCTCCACGCTGAGTGTGGATCCACACAAGGCTTGATCCCACGACCCTGGGATCATGACCTGAGCCGAAATCAAGAGTCAGATGCTCCTCCAGCTAAGCCACCCAGGCACCCCTGAATTCCAGACCGACTGCTTCTTTCACTTTCTAGATGATTGTATAAGCCCAAGTTGAGTCATTAACTTGCCCAAAGTGAGAATTATAAGATATCCCTGAGGCACATGCAGGATGGTTGAAAAGATAAGATTAATCACAAGAAACAACTAGGGAAAAGTAGAATAAAGGCATTCATTCCTTTATGCAACTGGTGGTTCCTTTGAGAGCCTCCTCTGGTCTGATGCTCTTTTGGGTATTGGGTAGTCTAGAAATGAATAAGGCAGAACGTTTTGCCATCTTGGCGCTTTTATTTCAGTGAGAGGTTTTTGCCCTTGTGGTGCTTTTATCCTAATAAGGAGACAACCAATGTACAAGAAGATTTCAGATAGCTGTAGGAGTGACGGAGTATCTGTTGTATTTTATTTATTTTTTTAAGTTTAGCTGTTTTTTTTTTTAATTTTTTTTAATTTTTTTAATGTTTATTTTCGAGAGAGACAGAGACAGAATGTGAGTGGGTTAGGGGCAGAGAGAGAGGGAGACACAGAAGCAGAAGCAGGCTCCAGGCTCTAAGCTGTCAGCACAGAGCCCGACGCGGGGCTCGAACTCATGAGCTATGAGATCATGACCTGGGCCAAAGTCAGACGCTCAACCACTCAGCCACCCAGGCGCCCCTAAGTTTAGCTATTTTGAAAGAGAGAACACCCACGCGTGGGGGGAGGGGCAGAGAGAAGGGGGAGAGCGAATCCCAAGCAGTCCCCACACTATCAGTGCAGAGCCCAACAGAGCCCAACGTGGGACTCCATCCTGCCAACCTGAGATCATGACCTGAGCCAAGATCAAGGGGCACTTAACTGACTG